TTAAGGTATCTTTGGGTTCCTTCTTGGCACATTGATGAAGCCGTTCTAGTCCAATCTCAGCTTCACCTAAGGGATACAAGAAAGATGCCTCAGTAGTCAGTAAAGCAAAAAACAGCGGAACTTTACAATAGAAGACCTTGTAGATACTCAAAGAATTGCCTCTTGGCACGGTCATGCTCAGGTAAGTAATATCCATATGCATAATTCCATTTTAGCACCCGTCTACATTCAACTATCTACAAATTAGGAGTGAAGCAATCAGCCAATCAGCAGAAACAAGTATTTCAGAAGAAAGTAATGGCATTCTTTATAATATGCTCCTTTTAATACCCAACTATCAATTTGGACTAAAAAGGTCCCCCAGTTATTATTATTGGACAAAAATGATCCTTTATTAGGATTCTATTAACAGGTCTATTTTTGTCAAATTCCTATCCAATTTTTGTTCTAGTTTTTGTCCCCCCAACGCCAACTAATAGAAGTAGATCAAAAGTGATCTTTTCTTCTTTTTTTTGGGTGTGTGGGGGGGTGGGGGGTGGGGGGGGTGGGGGGTGTGGTAATATAACTGAAATCAATTATAATAATATTTAGAGCTTACCTGCAGCCAAGCATCTATTATGAACCACTGTGATACAGGTTGAACTGTATCTCACTCAACTTCTCAAGCTGCACACAAAAATTGCCATGAATGTTTAAAAACTTATAATAGTCGTTAGCTCTTGAAGTTGACGTTTGATATATATCAGCTTCGTTCAAAATGGTATAGTTGGCCAATAAGATTATTTTCCTTGCCCGTGTTTGCATTTATCTTTCACCTAATCAGAACAATCACGTGGCAGGAGTAATCCTCCCCCAGAATATACATGAAATTTTCCTTTATTATATGCAGCATGTAAATATTGGGCAAAAAAAGGGAAAAAGAATGAAAGTGAAAAGAACAGAGCAACCACAAAAGTTTACTAGTATTATATAACTTTAAAAAAATGATAAATCATGTAACTTCTACATAGTCACATAGATAATCCATTTTAGAATGGATGACTACTGAAGACTACTTTCTTAACTACACTAATGTTCTACCAACCAAAAATTTAAAGATGAACCAAACCAGCTCAGCCTGCTATGACCTAGAGAATTCAGACTTGTAAACACGGAAGTTTGCAACTTCACTTTAATGACTTCTAGCAGAAATACTCAGATTAGAAATGGAGGGACAGAATACCATCCACAAGTTTGCAACTTCACTTTAATGACTTCTAGCAGAAATACTCAGATTAGAAATGGAGGGACAGAATACCATCCACATTGACAGTAACCGACGAACTGTTAATTGTGCCTTCTCTACTAAAACAATCGATTCTAATGAATGTATTTTCTGCCGAGGATTCATGAGAATGAATAATTATATGCATCAGATCCTTTAAGATACTGAAAAGCTGAGAAAAGATTCACAGAGAATGTATGTCATGCTGACACCAAAATGATCAGATTAGTAGTTCCTACTCATCAGTCATCACCAGTAGTCTCCACAGGAGCACCTTCCATTTTTGAACCGATGAAATCTGCTGTCATCTTTGATAACAAATTCTCGGTCTGTAACCATGGCTATGAGTTTAATTGCATTATGGCAATCATTGCATATTCTATGGCTCTGTACCAGTTGTAATGGACTGCCACTTGGGGTGTTTATAAGGCCAAAAGAAATTGCTAACCTTTCACTGTGATAAGGTAGTAATTTTTGCTCACTCTCATCCACATCAGGAAGCAAAGTCCTTTCCTTGGCAACATAACCGTGCTTTGATATCTCAAGCATCAAATTATCTAGATTCTCATATATCTCCTTGGTTTGGGCGTGGTGCTTGTCTGCAGAGTAAAAAACTACTTGCTGCTTCTGAATCTCTATCCAGGTACATGCAGGCATCATTCTCAAACCTTTTCGTTTCAGTGTCTGAACAACAGCTGCCGCTTCTTCTAGCTTCCCCAGACTATTATAGATGTTCAAAAGCACTATATAGTTGCTAAGTTTTTTAGGTTCCAAATCATAAAGCCTCTCGGCTGCTAATTTTCCAAGAACAGAATTCTCGTGGACTCTGCAGGCCGTCAATAAGGCAGCCCACATGTTCAATGATGGCCTATAGGGAACATCTCTTAACAATGAACAGGCTTCATCCAAAAGCCCTTCTCGGCCTAGCAGTTCAATCATACATGCATAGTGCATTTGCCGAGGCTTTACCTTGTAGTCTCTTCTCATCGAGTCAAATATCTCCCATCCCAAATCTGTCAAACCAGAATAGCTACAAGCAGATAAAACAGCTAGGAAAGTAACATGATTGGGAACCATTCCTTCATAACCCATTTTATCAAATAACTCAACAGCCTCAACTCCCCTCCCCTGTTTACCATATCCAGCTATCAAGGCATTCCAAGATATGATATTCTTTTTTGGCATCTTGTTAAAAACATTCCTCGCATCTTCTATCCTGCCCCATTTGCTATAGAAATCAATAAGTGCTGTATTGGCTATTATATCTGACCCAAAGCCATGACGAACCAGCCCAGCATGAGCTTGCTTGGCATGCTCTACTGAAGCCAACCTTGTGCAAACTCGTAAAACAATTGTAAATGTGGCACTTGACATCTGAACTCCAGCTTCTTGCATTTCATCGTACAGACACAAAGCCTCCTCGCTATATCCATTAAAAGCATAGCCAGCAATGATAGTATTCCATCCAACTGAGGTCTTCTCCGGCATTTCATCAAACACAAACTGAGCATCTTCTATGCTGCCACACTTGCTGTACATATTAATCAAAGAACAGGATATGAATACGTCATCAGCAAGGCCCAACTTCACAGCAAAACAATGCAATTGTTCTCCTGCAGAAATGAGCTCCAAACCCGCAGCTGCTACAATCATGGGGGAAATCAGTCGAGGCCCAGCGTCAGAGTAATCCGACTTCCTTATAAACAACTGGAAGGCCTCTACATAATCGCCCGATTCCACAAGCCCGGCAACCATTTTGTTCCAAGAAACATAGTTTTTTTGGGGCATTTCTTCGAATAACTGCCGAGCATCTAACATCAACCCACATCTCACATGCATCAGCAATATCCTGTTACTCATATACATATCAGGTCGAAACCCAGACCTAACAATATGATCATACACTCTCTTGGCGCCTCTAATCGACCTCAACTCCATACAAGCATTGATCAATGCATCGTAGGTAATCACACCAACGTCAAGGTCACCCGCGCAATACAAAATGTCGAAGAATTCGAGTGCTTCGCGGTACCTTTTGTGCGAAACCAGCTTCTCAATCTCCTCACAGATGCTGGATCTCAAATCCTCCCTTGGAGTCTCATCGCCACGAAGTTCTTTGCTCAAAACATCCTCCATCTTGGACGACGGCTTCGGTTTGGGTATAGGTATAGGACGGGGTGGTCTAACCAACCCGGGCTCCACAAATGAGCATTTAATCCGGGAAAACAAGCTCCGGTGCCGGTGCTTTTTATCACTGTTCACCGATAACTGCCCGGAGAGTCGAAGCTTTTCTCTCAAAGCGTTGGGCTCCGCCAAAGAACGCGCATATCCACAGCCGCTCTGGAGCTGATCCAGAGGCAGCGAGATATTCATGACCGGAAGAAGAACAAAGAAAAACTCTGCTAAAGCGCAGAATTAAACAAAAGCTACCTCCACCTCAATTGCAATGAGACTATAAACTCTTCAAGTTAACGGAGTATTGGATCAAGATGTCGCGCGTGGGAGCAGCAAAACGCACAGCCTGGCTCCTCGCCGGCGGGATAGGAATGGCGGCGGGTTTGATAGTTTTATACGGAGGAGGACGGTGATTCGCAGCTCCAGAGTTGTCGGGGGATATATCTATGATCTATCAAAGGTGTTTGTTGACAGATTCAGGGCGGGGAAACTTTGGAAGATCCGCTAAATTTCCTCGATTTTACCGTTAATTGTACACAAGTCCCTCAGTTATAGATATAGAGGCGATTTAGTCCTTATTCATTTTTATTTGTACACTTTAGCCCTCTATTATTTTATTTTGTGGTCTTTGAAGGTGATTTTTATTTTTTATCAATAAATTCTTATGATATAGTGGAATTCCCTCGCTTTAATCAAATAATTAAATATTATTTGGGACAATTCCAACCAAATTTTGTAGCCTTTTGGCTTAGTATTTAGTAATCACACAATTACGGACTGTCTGTTTATACTGTTTTACTTGATAATCACAAAATTACAAATTACACTTCTACCGAAGAAGCATATTAGCCTTTTTGATAGTTAATCAACTATGACAATCTAGATTAGTTTAACTCATTATGATCCTTTGTCGGCTAACATCATTAGCGAGTTTATTTAGTGTACAGTGTACACCCTTAATCATTTAAAGTTAAAATGTATTTACAAAATTAATAGAGATAAAATCATTTATATTATTGTTATATAGGGTTTTAAAAAAAAATCAATTTATTTGTTTTCAAAACTTAATTGTCTAACTGGATTATGAACTAGAATCATGGAAAAGTATGAAGCGCCAGCCTATAAGAATATGTAACATTGACTAGGTCCTGATAGTGGTTTCGAGTTTTCTCGTTATTCAAAAAGAAATTTACAAGTTTCCCTTAATCTTAATATTCTAATTTATCTGATTTATGGGACTATATTTAATACAAATTGGATAACTAATTGAGTGGATATATGTCATAAATGTATTAATTTCATAATTTAATTCCAAATTCTTATTTCAAGATCATTTTTGGTAATTAAATTATATATTTTGTTAAGTTTATCTATAACAGTTTTTGTTTAACATTGTTCCCAAAAGGTTAAATCTGATAACTCAGATAAACATAGACTAAGCTGAGCATTGGTGAGACTCGATCCGAGTCACTGTTCTCAAACTTCAACCTTGTGACCAATTGAGCTGCCCATGCGGGTAATTTTTGTTAAACATCTTAATATACTAAGACAGTTTTTAACATACAGAGAGAGAATAATACCTCAGGTACAAACTGGAGAACGAAAAGTACAACAAATTCTGCTATTGTTACTGTCTAATTGCAGTAGCTTAAAGAAAGATTACACTCTGCTTGGTTCTTATCTTGAATGGTCTCTAAATATACTGAATTCATCACAAACAATGCTACAACAGCCTTTATACAACATTACACCATTACTTCTAACTGTCTATTTTCTCCCTTATTTTACAAGATCTAGAGATTCTTGCCTTCACAAATCCAGAGCACGACGCACAAACCATATTGCGTTCTAAAAGATTTTCACCTCACACTTCCATGTGCCCCTGCATGCGAAGGAACTCTCGCTCAGGCATTTTATGAGTTGGTTTTCAAGAATTTGTGAAAATGCTGCAATGTTTACCTAGGTGGCAAGAAATTTTGTCCTCAGGTATGTCTGGAAGCCTCATCATGCAACTGTGTAGGTCTTACGTTCGGTTCTTCCTGCCAATGTGAGTGAAAACCGCGTTACAAGACATTACACTCAAGCAGTGCATAGGTTCAACATCACCCCCCCCCCCCCCCCCCCCCCCCCCCCCCCCCCCCCCTTTATTTTGACATAGGTTACCACACAAGTGTTTGTATCCTTTGTAGTTTGTACTAAGACAGATATATCACAAAACATAATTTTATTTTTTTTTCAGATATAATCAGATAAGCTAATTCAGTTCCTTTTATATTCTAATACCTTCTAGCTCCTAGCTCAAATAATATAAAATTAAATTAAAAACTACATGCATCCAGTATATAAATTCACATGAAGTATGCCATAAGAATATATATTGTTCAATATCAGATGATAATCAGCTTTCTTTTGTAGGAACAGCACTAGTTATAAAGGGAACTCACCCGAATGCCATATGGGTAATTTGGGGTTCGGAAGAAGTCCATTTGGCCCTGCAGCCGTAAACAGAAAGTGTATTGGTATTACAATTGTAACTTACCTATCAAAAAAACGCATGTATATCTCGATTTAAAAGCATAACCACAGGCACTAAAAATGTTATATACCAGCCCATGCATTGTAGGTTGAGTCCCATAATAGCCATCATGTGTGGGTGCGATAGAGTTTAACTGTCCCTATGGAGAAACAAAATCATAATCATTACTCTGTTTGTTTTATATGATAAATCAGACTAGCCATGATTTAGATATGACATACTAGCCCCTGAATAGGTTGCTGGTTTCCATAGTAGTTGTCACGAGTTGGTGCCATCAAGTTCAACTGTACCTGGAAAAATTAATGGCCAAGTTTAGAACAGAACTACATGTTTTAAGTGTGACCCAAATTATAGCAGACCATACCATGCCTTGTAGACCATGTTGTGGGCCAAAATAACCATCCAGAGTTACTGGTCTAGAGCTTAATTTATCCTACAAAAGCAAATAAGTTTGATTAAAACATATGAACAAGTTAAATTTTAAGTTCTAATGAATATTTTATGAGATGGCATTAAACTTTTGCATTTAGCAAGAATCAAATAAAACAAACCATTTGTTGCAGATTTTCTGGTGCTCCTACAGCCATAACATCTGGTTCAGAGTTTGCCTGTGCATAGAAGAGGAAGTACACATGTCAGCAAACCACATAATAAGTTACCTCATACTCTATATACAAATATACAATATTTCAGAACGGACCTTTCTTTTTTTAGTAGGGTTATTTTTCTTCTTATTCATCTTATTCATGCTTCTACTTTGGTTATCTTCTTCTATGCATAGAAGACCCGGAGTAGATGTAGTACCAGCATCAACAAGATTCTTATTTGAGCTGTTAGCATCCACACAATTCCCCAAAGTTTCATCAAGTGAGCGAAAAGCAAATCTGTAACTTTCTTGAGATAAAGATCCTTCTTCAGCCAATCTCATTGCTTGCTGACATAGATAATTGTATCTTTGAACCCTAGACTGCACACCTTCAGATCCATCTATCACAGGGAATCTGACCTTGGCATCTTTTGTCCATCGTTTCAAGATATATTGTGGTGGAATGGTAGAAATGCCACCTATTTGAAGAACAACCATCGCATGTCTACAAAGAAAGCCTTTATACTCAAACATGTGGCACATACAGGATACTTCTGACTTATGCCCATTCCAGGTTACCGTGAATTCTTGACTCTTTTCAAAATCTTGAATTATAAAAGTTACAGCTGTCTCATCTCGCTTCTCATCTTTGGGAATACAGGCAACTGCAGCTACAACTTCAACTTGAAATTTCTTAAATACAGCATGTGTGTACACCCCTGCCACATGCTTCTCAAATGGTGATGGAGACTTCAAAGCAGGCTGTTTGTTCCATGTATCAGAATCTGCCTTTGCTTCCTCTTCATACCTATCTTGTAAGATAGCTTCATACAGTTTTACAAACTCCTGGATGGTGGTCTTCCTATGCACATATTTGTCAAAGAAAGAGTTCAAACTCTCAGATCGCAGAGCTGTAGACATACCAGCTAAAAATGCATTCTTCATGAATGTAGGTACCCATTTCGTCCGGTCCTCATACAGCGACATCATCAATTCATTTTCTCCAAGTTCAAACTTTTGAACCAGGTTTTGCCAACTCTTTTCAAATTCCTCATCTGTCCATGACCTGTAAATGCAATTTTCAAACTCTGCCATGAATTCCTCACTCTGCTTAATGATATGATTAAGATTTTCAGAGACCTTTCCAAGTACATGCCACTGACAAAAGAAATGGAGGGTTGATGGCATGATTTCTGAAACGACTGACTTCATGACCATTTCTTGGTCAGTGATTATGATTTTGGGAGCTTGATCACCCATTGCCTTTAGCCATGTCCGCATCACCCAAGAAAATGTTTCTGAACTTTCATCAGACAGTAAAGCACATCCAAGCAACATGAACTGATAGTGCTGGTTCACCCCAATAAAAAGTGCTAGCGGCATTTTATACTTGTTTCTAAGATAGGTAGTGTCAAAAGACACAACATCACTGAAATTCGCATAATCATGTCTACTTTTTGCATCAGTCCAGAACAAATTCTTTAAACGGTGATCCTCACTTACATCTATGGCATAAAAGAAGTTGGAATTCATACTCTGCATCTGAATAAAGAATTCAAGCAAAATATTTGCCTCACCCGCTTCCATAGCCAAATTCCGAACTTTATCAGATGGACTTCTGGAGTCATGTTTTAGACCAACAACATTTTTGTATTCAGCAAATTGTCTTGCCATTGCAGCATACATCCTCTTAGTCTGTTCACTGACAGCTTGGGCAGGCATAAGTTCATGGTTATGCTCTTTCTCAAATCTGTGAATAATCCATTTCCCATCAGGTCTACGCTTAACATGCATGCTTGCTTTGCAGTCGGTCTTTGCACATGCTCGTCGACCAGTGGCATTTTCTTGATCCTGCTTACTTCCCTGTCTACTACGTGGGCGGTTTGCAGGTTTCTCATATTCACGCTTAGTACCATATCTAGAACATGCAAATTTAGCATCAATGAACTCTCTTGATGTCTTTGAACGACGGCTGTTTTGTATTGCAGTGTTAAATCCCATGGACCTGGCATATTCTTGATAGTAGGCATATGCCTCCCCATGTGATTCAAATTCCATACCAGCAAGTGGCTCAAGATTTACATCCTCTTTAAATTCTCCCATATCGCCCATGGGAGAGTTCATCTCCCCTCCATCTTCAACATGTATTTTCTCTTCAATGTCCATATCTCCACCCACTTCGACACCATCGAGTTTCTCTTCATGATCAAGCAAGTTAACAATACCATTTGTTTCTTCTTCTTCTTTATCATGATCTCCTGAAGGTAATCTAAGATCGATATCCATGTTGACAACCAACTATTGGCTTTCTATCTAAGTTATGCAGACCTGAAATCAAAAACAAAACAAAAAAGTTATTGAAGCAGTTGCATCCAGAGTTGGATTTAATAGTCATACTTATGTACATGTACATATTCAACAACTGAAATAAAATTAAAAAAAGATACCAGTCGCAAGGAGTAAACTTCAAACGTAATATTTAAAATAAATAATAAAGTAAATAAAAAGAGAGAAGAAGAAGCTATACACACACATCCATTCTGAGCTGGTCAAGAACAAGATTATTATCACCCTATATCATCCCAAATTAAGTGCATTGAAAAAATAAGATAAAATAAAGAAACTACATTAACATGATAGGAGTTATCTATGTTTAAATAAAGAAAGTAGATAAACATAGTATGAATTATCATCAATCCAGTGCATTTTAAAAAATAATGTACATTAAGTATGTTCTTCCACATGTTAAACATAAATTGTTTACACAAATATAATCATGGGTCTATGTAATTTCAAATTCTGTAATGATAATTCTCCTCACATTCTTTGTCATTTCATCCCTCATTATGTCATACTTTTACACCAGAATAAAACAAAAACGGCACTCTAGAACATTACTGAAATTTAAACCAATATTTGGATGAGCAGTCCCAACTCCCAAGCTTCCATTAAACATCTTATCATGCGTCACACCAAGGAGACATGCCTTAAAACTGAAAGCTGTAAAAAAAAAAAAAAAACTTGCAGCACAAACAAATACAAATTGCTATCAGTATGAAATGATGGTGCCCAGAACCCAGCAGAATGGTACTTAACAAATAAATATTCCTGACAGGTTCCACAACAGCACTCAAAATGAGAAAGAATTTTCCAATTAGAAAGCTGACGCTACATATGCTCTACATTCTATAATTCAAACTTGTAGAGGAAATATTGAGCACCCTCCACCCAACAGGCCTCCATCTTCCACTGGCTTTTCTGTGATGCCAATAACACGAATAAAGCTCCATTAATAGTTGCCAATCCCCTATGCCTGAATCATTTAATATGGTTGATTTAGACTAATCTAAATGGCATATTGGTTTACAATCTGTAATAAGTTAATTGTTAATCTCTTGTTTCCATATACTCCATAAGTCACACTAATAATCTTCAATAGTGACCTAAAGCAATCATTCTCATCCATTACTGTCTAAAATAAAGAATCCCGTTCTATATTGCTCACATTTGTTATACTTTTTTTTTTTTTAAGATATGCAGGGATGAAGGAAACCCCTTATAGCTAAGTGGTGGTCAGGTGGCATACCGATGCTTACTAATGGGTTGCAAAATGTAATGCATTTTACTAATAGGTTTCAGTTGTGAACCTTGTTACGGAGTATAAAGCATAAAGGGCAGCCCACACCCCACAAAAGAGTGTCGAGGAAAACAGCAGAAAGGGAAGCAAAACCATAAAAGGAACCATTATGTTCTGATGCCTATCAGCTAGATAAAAACAGAAGCATTTTAAGTTACACTCCTCTATTTATATTAAATGATTGTACTTATGATGTTTCAGATCGTAAAAATGGCTGTCATCCATTTGCATAAAGCTCCAATCAAAGTCACAGTTGAGCTCAAGAGCACTATCATCTTAGGTTATAAAAAGAACAACTTCCTTGCACCAAGTGGAAAAGGCCTTTACTTACTAACACTATTGAAGTGTGAAATTGAAGTGCTCATAATAATTGAAACTATTGATTGGCATACTCAATCAACAAGCCAGCTTACACCAAGATTTATTGAGTACAATACATATATACACCAGTGTTTTCCCTGTTCAAATCATGTTCACAGGAATCTCCTGCCACCACCCCAATCCACATGTAGGGACTTAAAATCTCAACAGGTCATCAGACAGACTAATCAAGCCCTACATTTTTATCATCACCCACTATGCATTTGTACATTCAAACTCAATCAGTAGCCCCCAACACAAGAACACAGCAAATATTCTTGTTTGCTCAATTCTCAAGTTGTAGAAGGGAATACGGAAGCTCAATTCTAGGTGCAGGACTGCGGCGCTTGAATATAATTATCGAATTAAAAAAAAAAAAAACTGAATTTGCCGAATTTCCCTATAATGAGCTCAGAAACAGTCTAGAGTAACAAAACACTGCTACTCCAAATAGCAGCTAAGAGTGGGAGGGGAAAAGTGCATATCAGAGAGCAGAAACGAATGCAATTAACAAGCAGAAGCTAAACAATGGCAATCTTTATAGACAGAGAGTACGAGAAGAAGGAAGAGAGAGAAAGAGAGAGAGAGGATGAAGTGGCGGCGATATACCTGTAATCTAAACTCAGGAGCGTCTGGTGTATGTATATGTTGTATCTATGTTTTCTCACGCACCTCCACTCGATCTGCAAACTGGAATTTCACGCGAGGGTCTCTGGCGAGTGGACTGGAATTTTTCCCCCCTTGGCTTCTGCTAAATTAGGGTTTGTTTGTTGTTCTTCTTCCTCGCAGCTGCTCTTCACTCGCCCCCTTTTCGTCACTCGCTGGTGAATCCGCCGCGCGTGACCGCCCTCTCCGCCTCCTCTTCGTTCGTCCCCTTCTCGGCCTTGCGGTCAACGATGAAAACCAAGCGCCTCTCTATCGCGCGTTTATTTCTTGCCACTCTCCATATATGGTTGACGAGACGTGCTTTTGGGTTATTGATTTGCGTTGCGTGACGCACCTGCTTATGCCCACGCGAGCCGCTTCAACATGAATCACACGCTCCCATTTAATTCGGATTCATCTTCAGTTAATCAAGGTTTATACTTTTTATTTTGTCTTATTGGCAAAAAAAACTCAAACAATTATACTCTATAATAAATAACTAGTAATTCACCCGCGCGATACACAGGGAAAAAATTATGTTATTATAAATATAAATAAAAAATAAAAAAATAAAAATATTTTAAATTGTTTAATATAATAATATTTTTGAGCTTCCATTGGTCAAGTATTTATTATTTTTATAGAATACAAAATTATAATTAAAATTTTGTATAGTTAATATAATCTCTAATTATGTACATATTCAAATAAACTTATAGACAGAATTTAGACAGAATTTACATAATTATATTGATTTATTCTTAATTGTATTTCATTTATATTATAATTTTCACAATACGAATAATAACTAAGATAATTACATTTAGAAAGTAAATTTCAAATTTTGTATGAGTAAATTTAAACTCTAATTGAACACATTTTTTATATGATTATATAATATATTTTAAATTGTTTAATATAATTATATTTTTGAGCTTCCATTGGTCAAGTATTTATTATTTTTATAGAATACAAAATTATAATTAAAATTTTGTATGGTTAATATAATCTCTAATTATGTACATATTCAAATAAACTTATAGAGAGAATTTACATAATTACATTGATTTATTCTTAATTGTATTTCATCTATATTATAATTTTCACAATACGAATAATAACTAAGATAATTACATTTAGAAAGCAAATTTCAAATTTTGTATGAGTAAATTTAAACTCTAATTGAACACATTTTTTTATATGATTATATAATATATTCTTTATGCACATGACATTCCATAAACTCAAATGTCATTTTATAAGTCCAAGACCACTTTTTGTTGAGATAATTCAAATGTATTTTTTTTTTCTTTTAAAAGTCCTAAGTTTAGACATCCAGAAAAACATTAAAGACACATACGATATATACATTTATGTATATTTAAATTTTTATTTATGGCTTAAATGATTTTTTTTTTTAATTCTGAAGTACAATAATTGACCCACGGCCCGCAACATTTGCTTTCTTCATCCCTTCTCGCTTCTGCCATTTCTTTGAAGCATTTGAGATGGAGAAAAATTATATGTAGAGGCTTGCATTAATTGCACTGTTTCAGATATTGAATAGACTTTCATCGAAAATTTAATTAATATTGTAATCCCAAGAACCACCATAAATAACAAAAGCATATCGAATAGACTTTCATTGTAAAGCCAGAGATTTAACTAATATTTCACCGTTTCATATTTTCTATTAATCGTGAATCGGAATCCTTAATCCTAATATCATAACATTTAATAACTCCATTAATTCAATAAAATGTAATTCTTTGTTATGGGCGAAAAAAAAAATAGCTATTTTATTTTTCAAATGTTGTGCTTTTTTTTTCTTTATAGTAAAAGATGTTGTGGCTATTTTATATTTATAGCTAGTAATAATAATAATAATATTGGTAATTAATTGTAACATTAATTATTTCCCAACCATATAGCTTTATTATATGTAAGATACGTATATCAAAGTTTATAAACATTAATAACAACCCAAAATTTTATATTTGTGTGATATTTACACTCAATTATACATAATAATTATATTATGATTACAAAAAATACAACTAATAAGCAATATAAATCATGTAACACATATCGTGATTACGAACCAGTACTAGAGAATTAGGAATATAGAAGGGAGATAGAATAGGAACCGTGGAGAACTGAGTTTAGTAAACAAGTTTTTTTTTTTTTTTTTTTTTTTTCTTTACTTCTCCAATTTACTGTTTTTCTATAAAATTATCCAATTTTCCCCTTTGGTAAACAACCGCTTCAATTCTATACAACTTTTGAAATAAAAGTTCTATGAGGAAAAATAAGTTCCACCAATCAAAAAAAAAAAAATTTAAAAATGCACATATCAAACAATTTATGAAGTTTTTGTTTTTTGAAAGATAAATATATTAATTCATATTCAACGGAAGAGCATTACAAATGATGGTGGGAGGGTTATAGAACTACTTCGAGTAATTAGACAGAAACATACTAGTTGACTAGTACATGAGTGGCTGCCTGATTCGTTGATAGCCCGGTGAACACTAAATTAATATGAGCAAACATACTCATTAAGTTTTTAATTTTAGATAAAATAAATTGAAAGGAATAGTCGGCTGCCGTAGAGTCGATGCTTTGTACCACATTAGTGAATCATTCTTAACGATTATTACTTTGTCAAAATTATGTGACTTCAACTAACTAAGAGATTCTCAGATGGATACTGCCTCTATTTCCTTGGGACTATATAGTCCTCTCCACGATGCTCCTCTAACTGCAACAAAGTGACCAAGGTCATCCATCAAAACACATCTGAATCCCAACATTTAACACATCAAAACACATCTGAATCCCAATTGCACCAATGTTACATGTCGATTTTTTAATCCTTGCATGAGAACCAACTTTCTCATGAGTTCATGAAAATCAATCTTATTCATTAAAAAAATAGATCTATAAAAGAGATTAATTGGAAGGATTAAGCATGTGTGTATATTAACTTACGGTCTGTGCAATAAAAAAAATCCCAATTAAAAAAAGCAGACGAATTGTGTATATTAAACATTATGATATGTGCATATTAAACATGTGTTGTGTGCAACATAGAGACATTTTTTCTAAATTATAATTGAAGGAAGCTAGAGGCAACAACATTCTGCCTCCTTCCAGATTGGAGATGAGGTTACAAATATGGCCAATTAATTGCTATGGTACCCACAAATTTTTAAAAAATGACAATATTTTTTTACTAGTAATATATTGGTCATGAGTAAAATAAATTTAATTGCATCATTTTAATGAGTTTGAGTAGCAAGTATAATACTATTGACTTTCCAATAAACTTGAATGTGTAAAATATGATAGTCAGTCTTACCCCCCCCAAAAAAAAAAAAAAAAAAAAAAAAAAGTGGTAGTCAACTCGTCATTAGAGCCTTAGAGGCATAGACCGTAGTCATTATGAGGACACCACAAGATGACAATGAAAAAAGAAGAAAAAAAAAAGAGTGAGGGACCCACCATAATTATTAATAAATAAATATTTTTTAAACAATTATTAATAAATATTAATTTTCATGTATCTTTCCATCAAAGAAAGGGCCTCATCACTCCAATACCCTTCTTTTCCGCACCGTGTTGGCTGCAGCTTTTTATTTTTATTTTTTCGCGCCCCACAGACCGCACCACAGTAATACACTAATACATATATATTTTTATGAATATTATTACCTATAATATTATGAAGATGAATTAAAAAAAGAACGCAATAACATTATGCGTATTATTGAAAACTTAAGATGCTTCATATTTAATATTTAAACTTATATTCCAAATTCTCAAATGGTCATTCTCCATATGTCTCGCGATCTAATTTGTAGTGAAATTTGTCCCACCGTAAATCTGCCAAAATTTGGAAAATATAAAAATTTGCTATTTTACTAAATCATTAAATGAAAATATAAGAAATAACTGAATTTCAAAAAAGACATGGTTATAAATTTAAGACAACTGATTTCAAAAAAGATTTAAATTTAATTTTGATGGCAATTTTGTACTTACCAATTAAGTTACCCTAACATTAATGCCATCAAGACTGTGGACCAAGGGAATGTTCATATATGTATGTTTGATAGAGGTTTCAATGTAAAATGTATAAAAATGCTATTTTTTTCTTACAAAAGAATTATGATAACTGGAATGGTTCATATTGCAAATCAATCCTTTTTCACTTATTATGAATGCAGAAAATTTAGGGATGTATGTTGTTGTTTTGTTATTAATAAATGTTTGTCAGTAAACTAATGTCTGTCAGTGACCTAACCCATCTTCTTCTTCTTCCCCCTCCGGCGGCTCAACTATCCTTTAAACAAAAACAACTTCAAATTCGTTAAGATGGGTCGGCGCTAACTCTTTCAGCTTCAATTATTCTTTCGTCTTCTGCCCTTTTTGTCGTCTGGGAATGGAAGCCCAACATTCTTCTTGGATTTGCAGTGTCATGAGGGGTTCTTTTTTCTAAGTGTTTTTTTGTAATTCTTGATTGGTTGTTTCAATGTTTCACCTCTGAGATTGGGATCTTCTGTTTCCCCAAAGAGGAAAGTTGAGATTGGCCTGCTCGCTATCATTGGGGGCTTTCAAGAAAGGATTTTTTTTTTTTTTTTTTTTTTTAAAGGAGCTTGGTTAGAGGTTGGAGTGGGAAGCTATGGTGAGGAAACATGGATGGCAGCTTCCGGCACACACCTTTCAGGTCTGCCTTTTTGGTTTTCCTACTTTTCTTAATGTGGTGATGTTTTTCTTGTTCAGTATCTGCTCATAGGATTTAGTAAAGACACTACTAAGAATTGCATAAATGTTGCTTAGTTTTATGAACCTACTAAAGGGAATTCAACTTTAAATCTCATCCCTGTGCATACTTGGGTTAGGAATTGTGTTTTCAATTTTGGAATCCTTTTGGGCTGGAGTGGGCAGGAAAGATAATGGATTTAGAGAGTTTAAGGTGGAAAAAAGTAGCTTTGGTCTTAATTTTGTGCCTCAGTGGGTAATTACATAACTGTATGGTGTGAATAACTTGCCCACAAAGGCGAAATTCCTCGCCCCTGATAGGCTAATGGAGGGGTAAATCACGGTGATTCAGCAGCCCCTTGATACCAAATTGAAACATGTGCTCTATTTCAACTAAAAGCCTAAGCTGATAGTTGGATTGCACGTTAATGGCTATATGCTCAACATCTACCACCCAGGAACTAACCGGTGCGGGTTGCATGGTGTGAATAACTGCATATTGTTAATGGATGCGAATTTTGTTGCTTTCTTGGTAGTTAACCATAGTTGATGAGCTATTTTGGGAGACCTTATTTGAGTTCTTCATGTTTCAAATATGTGCATTTGCAAGTACATTTTCTAATTTTTGACTGCTTTTTGTAGGTCGTTGCAATAACCGTTTTCTGCTTATTAGTGGTTGCGTTTTATGCTTTCTTCTCTCCTTTCCTTGGAGGACACGTTTGGGAGTATGTACTGGTTGGAGTCTATTCACCAGTGGTACGTGGATTGACTAAATATTGGAATAACCTGCCCACCTTGTTGGATATGGCAGAGATTTTGTCCTTAATTTATGCTTCGATAACAAGTATAATCTTTTGTGGTTGCAGGCACTCCTGGTTTTTATTCTTTATGTTCGGTGCACTGCAATTAACCCTGCAGATCCGGGTATAATGTCAAAGTTCGATTCTGAGCTATTAAGCAATATGAGCCCAAAGCATGGACTTTCTGCAAAAAATACATCTGGGAAGTTTGAAGGACTTGGCGGAGATGCAAATTCTTCTCCTTCTTCAGTCTCGAGAAGTTCATTTGGTGCATCGCACTCTGTTAAGAGAAGTCAACCGGAAGCTGACAGAACAGATGGTCGAGTAGTTTCTTCTAGAAGGAGGTCTTCTTGTTGTAAGATTGGAGGAATCTTCTGTGCCTTGTTCGTACACGAGGATTGTCGCAAACAAGACGGTGGAGGTGATCAGGAAGGTGCGAGCGAAGATGCTTTGTTCTGCACACTGTGCAATGCCGAGGTATTTATGGCACGTTTGGTTCGCGGAATAGGCCTGGAATGAAATAACATTCCCAGCAATAGGCATATTCCTTTGTTTGGTAAAAACTTCTATTCCCAGGAACAACAATGGGAATGACATATTCCCCTTGCAAGGGGAATACAGATTCCGCACACTGTGCAATGCCGAGGTATTTACGGCATGTTTGGTTTGCGGAATAGTCTTGGAATGGAATAGCATTCCCAGGAATAGGCCTATTCCTTTGTTTGGTAAAAACTTCTATTCCCAGGAACAACAATGGGAATGACATATTTCCCTTGCAAGGGGAATACAGACTCCCCCTCTTGATATTAGGCTATTCCTGAGAACTCAGGAATAGCCTAAAGTTGTTATTTCCTATTTTACCCCGCGCAAACGTTTATACTTCAAGGGAGCTATAATTTGAAAGTACCGAGTTATATAGACGGTCTTCATATCAAGATTGTTGAGTGCTATACATTCCTAGTTTGATGCCCTTTTTGGATTATTTTTGCTTCTTTGCTTGCAGGTATGCAAGTTTAGTAAACATTGTAGAAGCTGTGACAAATGTGTTGACGGATTTGATCACCATTGTCGGGTATATCTTATAGCTTTGCAGAAGGCATATTTTTTTATTTTTCGTCCCTTCTGACTAACCTAGCTTTATTTTGTTCGGGAAGCTGACCAAATTTGTCGAAAATTGCAGTGGCTAAATAACTGTGTCGGGCGAAAAAATTATGCTACCTTTATATCTCTTATGGCCATCAGTCTAGTATGGGTACGTTTTATGGCAAATAGTTGGTTGAATATGAAGAAAAGAAAAAAAAATAAAAAATCTCCGGTTTCTGACTCCTCTCTCTCTCTCGCCACTCGTACACACACGAATGTGCAGCTTGCTATTGAAGCCGGGACTGGAGTTGCTGTTTTGGTTCGGTGCTTTGTGAATAAAAAGAACATGGAGGCTGAAATAGTCGACAGATTAGGGAATGGTTTCTCTCGGGCTCCATTTGCAACCGTTGTGGTAATTTGGTTTCGCTCACCCCGCACTGTTGTGGAATTATCCAATAGCGCCATAATATAAAATTGCGTTTTTGCGTTTTGCAGGCTGTTTGTACAGCGGTTTCTGTCCTGGCTTGTGTGCCCTTGGGTGAACTCTTCTTTTTCCACATGATACTGATTAGAAAGGTAGATCGTCGTATATTTTTCAGCGTTGTTTTAGAAAAATATAAGAAAATAAAAAAGTTTATTTACGACCAAATGGAGCATTTTTGTCTTGTGTCAGGGCATTACAACGTACGAATATGTTGTTGCAATGAGGGCGGCCATGAGCGAGGCCCCGGGGGGAGCATCTATAGATGAGGAGCAGGGAAACATTCTACTCTCTCCAACGGGTTCTGCAACGACTGGTTTCAGCGGTGGAAGCTCGTTAGGCCTGCAGTATAAAGGAGCGTGGTGCACCCCTCCTCGTGTGTTTGTTGATTATAACGTAACTATCTCACGGTTTTGCCCTTTCTCGTCTTCGATTTTTCCGCTCTTTTCTTGTTGCAGTAACTGATGACATGAATGTGTTCTGACTCTTGTGGAGCAGGAAGAAGTTGCGCCTCAATTGGAACCGGGAATAGTCCCGTCAACGGTTGATCCAGACGCAGCTGGCTTCGAGGACAAGGGAAACAAGGCATCTAAGCGGCCCGTTAAGATCAGTGCGTGGAGGCTCGCCAAGCTGGATTCGAGCGATGCTATGAAAGCTGCAGCTAAAGCCCGAGCATCGTCGTCGGTCCTACGCCCTATTGACAACCGTCGTTTGGGTGATTCTGAGCTAAGCTCGAGCGAGAATATGAGTGTGAGAAGCAGTATGAGTGGTGACACGGGTGGAGGAAACAAAGACACGAGAAACGAACTGAGGATTTCTCCGTTTAGGAACTCGTTTGCGCCTAGTCAAGGCAGCCGGGACGAGTACGAGACGGGCACCCAAAGCATGAGTAGCTTCAGCAGCCCGAGCCATGCTCACGAGGCGGTCACGCTAAGCCCCCTCCCACGGGCTGCTACTGCACTAAATGGCATTATTATCCCCGAGCAGGCTCGGGCGCCATTGGCTAATAACACCCGCCCGTTATCTTTCACCTCTTCGGACTTCGATGAAAAGATCGTGCAGAGAAGTGGCGCTGCTGACCCGTTACTGCTCTCTGCAGTCGCTCCACCAACGTCTCTCCTCAGAGACGTTAAACGAACATCTGTTGTCTGGGATCAAGAAGCCGGGAGGTACGTATCTGTCCCCGTCTCAGCTGCAGAAGCTCGTGGCAGACCGTCTTTACTATCAAATCCTATCCCTCTCCCTCGAGAGCCTTCCCATCCAGCACCAAAGCCTCCTCCGGTCCAGCAGTCCGAGAAGCTGATGTACAGCGGGGAGTCTATATTCTTCGGTGGCCCTCTGTTTCGCGGGCCCATCAAGGACAGTATGAAGAACGAGAGAACCTCCGGATCAGGAAATGGACTTGAGAGGCTGCCACTGAACTTGCCTCGGGAATCCAGGTTCAAGAGAGACGGCGCCTCCCACCAGCTTCCTGTGTTCGCCCCCGGGGATTTGGTCAGGCCACAATAAGTAGGCGATTGTAATGTGTTTTGTATTTTAGAGCATTTGGCATTTGCAATGGGGGGTTGGGGAATTGAGTGTTTTGAGAAAACAGAAGAAATCTCTGAAGGGAGGTAAGATTTAGGCCTCCAGGAACCTGCAGCCTAGTGATTTGATTCAACTAGCAGGCAGAGGTTCCAGTGGTTTCTTCTTCAATCAATTTCCTAACTTTTACCACGATGTATTATAGAGCAGATGGACTCGTAGACCCACTTTACCCTTTCAAAATTTGATTTATGAGATCAAAAACTCTCTTCCTTGACGTACTTGGGTAGTTCAAGTGGTCAACTAATTAACATGTATTTTTGTTTTTAAGAGTAATGTCATAATGTGAGGGTTCAAATCCCAATCCCAAACTTAAAGAGTCATTGTGAAATTTTGACCGATCACTCAAAACTCAGAAATCTAAGTCAGTAAAAGAAAACTGTACTTTTATGCAAAAATTGCAATCACTAGAATTTAGGGGCAAATTATACCAAGGACCAAAGACTCTGGTCTCAAAATAACCCTTCAGTATGTTAACACATTCTGTACAAAAATAACCTTCAAATTGAATTGACATATTCTATCAGTACAACTTGGAACCATTAACTGTTCAAGCTATCAAAATTCAAATATTTTGACATAAAATATTAAACTAAGATTAAGAGAGTAAATAGAGAGAGGATAGGATGAATCTAAGGTTTGGTCTGTTTTTGAGCCTTTTTTCTAGCAGTCCTCTCTTTAAATCTAAGGGCAGGGTTGAATCCTCCTCCATTTTCGGAATCTACTTTTTCATCCAACTCTCTGAAAGACTTCTGCGAATTGCATTCACAAGAGATTTGTAAGCAAATGTTGTAGGAAGGAGAGATAAAGGAATTGAGTTCCAGTATGGTACCTCACTCATCTCCATGAAGCTTACGGCGTAGAAAGTAAGAGCAGCTACGGCAACTATTCCGACTACCGGCACACCAAACTGTTGAAACCCATCCATTTCTTCTTTGCGTATCTTTTAGCTTCAAATCTGGTCCGGTTTTTGCTCCGTTGATATGGTGAGACAATAGAGCAATATAGTTTGTGGTTGTGGATAAGGTTAAGGGATATACGGGTCTTCGCACAAGCACGAGATAGACCACGATAACCAAAACAAAATAACAATATTGCCTCTCGTATTTTGAGATTATGACATTACTATAGCCACGCGCTCCCATTAAGACGTTTTTCTTAATTTTATATTTTCAAATAACAATTAAAGTTATTTTCAAAAAAAAAATAATAATAAAGATTATTGGTATTGTTGAAAAAAAAATGTTTTAAGGGGTTATAGTATGTGCTAATTATATGCTACTATGTTTGGAAGTTGTTTACAAAATATTATTAGTGATCATTTTTATAGATAATTTTCTTTGAAAACATAATATTTTGTTGAGAAAATCTCTATGTTTGTTGTGATGTGAAGCCTACATTGAAGTTAAGCATTATAAAGCCTTATGGCTAATTATTTTGGATGTGTGATTATATGCCGTATTAAACCTATTTTACAGGATGAGGGTGTTACAATTGCTAAGTCTTTAAATAATCCGCAATTATAAGAGACCCCTGTTATATCCGTATAATCAAGAAACATGTTTAAATACTAAAAATGGTATTTTATTAAGGGCAGCTGCAAACATTTCTAGTTGAACTAATCTTGCATCTATTTCATATCCGATTGATTATACAAGTATATAAATATCCAAATGAAAGTAAATTCCTATCCACTATAGACCCATATATTGTAAATTCCTTAGAAATCACAAGTAGTGAAAATCTGTTGCAGGAGACAGGTAGCAATATGCAACTGGATATGCACCATGCTGTTTAATACTGCCATTTGATCTATGCCCCGGAAACTAGAACAACCTTCATTTCAATTATGAAGGGGTTCACCAGTAAGAAGCAACAAGAATAAATCAACAATCTAAATCTATGAAATCCCACACATTTCATTGTTAATGTTACTCGATCATCAATACATACACACTAGAACCCAGAGATCATACACCGTAAATTCCTTAGAAATCACAATACTGTAATAAAAAATTGTTGCAGGAGACAGGTAGCAATGTGCAACTGGAAATGCACCATGCTGTTTAATACTGACTTTCGATCTATGCTTCGGAAACTTGAACATCCCTCATTTGGTTTTATGAAGGGGTTCACCATTAAAAAGCAACAACAATAAATCAATATCCTAAACCTACAAAGTCACAGGCATTTCATTGATATGTTCCAATCCCTACCCAAACAAACCACTTCCAATTCAAGTCTGATAAGAGGAAAAAGACCATTAGTAGTAGGATTAGATCAATTCTGTGAAATAACAATCTAAATCTATATAGTCCCACACATTTCATTTGTAATGTTACTCTATCATGGATACATACACTGTAAATTCTGTGAAGTAACAAAAAACTGTAATAGAAATTTGTTGCAGGAGACAGGTAGCAATGTGCAACTGGAAATGCACCATGCTGTTTAATACTGACATTTGATCTATGCTTCGGAAACTTGAACATCCCTCATTTGGTTTATGAAGGGGTTCACCATTAAAAAGCAACCACAATAAATCAATATTCTAAACCTATACAGTCACAGGCACTTAATTGACATGTTCCAATCCCTACCCAAACAAACCACTTTCAATTCAAGTTTGTTCGAGGAAAAAGATCATTAGTTGTAGGATTAGATCAGATATATTGGTCTATGCTTTCATTGACACGCACATTGTACTGCATTAACAATGCCCGTAACGCCTGTGAAAGCAACCTAATCAACACCATATGCTTCTCAACATAAGAAGCAACAACAATAAATCAAAATTCTAAACCAATGAATTCACAATCATTTCATTGACATGTTCCCAATCCCTACACAAAACAAACCACTTTCAATTCAAGTCTGTTCGAGGAAAAAGATCATTAGTAGTAGGATTAGATCAGATATTTTGCCCTATGCTTTCATTGACACGTACATTGTACGTCATTAACAATGCCCGTAACGCCTGTGAAAGCAACCTAATCAAACACCATATATGCTACTCGGCAACAGTTTATATTATTCCAACTTCAATAACAAAGACAAACATGAACTTAATGTAAGTTTCAACGGTAGATAGAAATGATGAAACTGTAAATACTAGACTATGTCAAGCAATATATCAATACTCAGGAACTAAGCAATAATTAACGAGAGAAATGAAATATATTAGAAATTCGATTGTCACATATAATAAGGATAACATCTTCAAGTAAACAAAATCCAGTTGAAAAAATTACTAAGAGAAACAGACAAAAAGCTCATAGGCTGAGAGTATTTATGTATTGATCTACTCAGAACCTGAGTTTGGAAAAGAACCACCTGTTCTTCCCAGTTTTGAACCGATCTTCGAGACGAGCTTTCGCCTCTTTCGCGGCAGCGACTCTCTTGTCCCGCGACTGAAGGCAGTCGGGGGTGACGGCGTCTTTCAGGTCAACGTCCAGGGTGTAGCGCGTCGGCATAATGTGGTTGTAGTTAACGAGCTTGACGAAAGTCCTCACGCGAGACTTCTTCGCCTGCTTCTTGGCGGAGTCCTTGCGGATCACCTTGCTCGGATACTTGGCGATCCCGGCGACAAGGCAGTGGCCGTAGGGGCGATCGCGAGTGCCGTCGTCGAAGGACTTCACGATGACCGCCTTCTTGCCGGCATAGCGGCCCTGAAGGAGAATAACGGCCTTGTTAGGCTTGAGAAATTTCACCATTTTCGACGCTAGCCGCCGCTGCTTACTGCTGCGAGACGAAAATGAAACCCTAAGGTTGAGGTTGCAGATGGTTTCTGAGCTTTATAAAGAAGTTATATACGAGTGTCACGTGCGCCCGGTTCCTCTGTGGAGCCCTAGATATTATTTGGGCTGACTCTACTTTTTGGACAATGGTTCAGCGGTCCAGCCCTGGTTTATTGGGCCATCTACAAGGCCCAATATTTGTAATTACTTAAGATTAATAAGAGTCTAGATCAAGAGCACGAACAACGGAAAACAAAGAGATTGAAAAATAGTTCATATAGTTAAATTTGGGCAAGGCCTTCCGAGCTAACAAATGGGCGACATTGTTCGCAGACTGTTTAATTAACAAAAAGTGGATTGGGGTTTCCTTGAGGACACATTAGAGAAGTTTGGATTCCCGGGAAATCTTATCAACCTAATTCTTTTTGCTTTACGTGAGAGTGATATCTCCATTCTTTGGAACGGTGGCTGGCTTCCGTCCTTCACACCGGGGCGGGGCATCCGTCAAGGTGATCCGCTTGCCCCCTACTTATTTAATCTCATCATGGAGCGTCTGGCTTACGATATTCAGGACATGGTAACTGCAAAAATTTGGAAGCCGTTACATGTGACCCGTGGAGGGATTGGTCTCTCTCATCTTTTCTTTGCGGATGACTTGCTGCTCTTTGGAGAAGCTTCGGATAGCCAAGTTGAGGCAGTTATGAACTGTCTTGACATGTTTAGTAAGGTCTCTGGCCTCAAGGTAAATTACTCTAAATCCCTTATCTTCTGCTCTCCAAACACTTCTGCAGGTATGAAAAGAAGGATCGGCGAAAAGACGGGTATTCCAGTGGGAGATCATCTAGGCACTTATCTGGGTATTCCCATGCTTCATAAGCGTGTCTCTAAACACACTTTCTCTTCCATCATCGATAAAATGAGGAATAAGCTATCAATGTGGAAAGCAAGTGCGCTAAGTATGGCGGGTAGGAGAACGTTGGTCCAAACTTCTCTTGCCACGGTCCCAACGTACACCATGCAATCTTTGGCCATCCCGGTAAGTACTACTAAGGATATTGACAAGCTTTGCAGGAATTTTCTCTGGGGACATGCCGAAGACACGAGGAAAATCCACACAGTCAACTGGGGTGAGATCTGTAAACCCCGGGACGCTGGGGGCCTTGGTATTCGTAGAGCTATTGATTTCAACATGGCGTTTCTCACCAAATTGGCCTGGCAAGTCTCGACCAATCAAAGCAAACTTTGGGTTAAAGTCATTCGTGAGAAGTATATTAAAAATGGGGACTTCTGGACTGCCTCCAACACTGGCAATCCCTCTTGGGGCTGGCGTAGCATCTTGAAAGGCAGACAAATTCTTAAAGATGGGGTGCGTTGGAAAATTGGCACTGGTTCCTCTATTAGCTTTTGGCATGACCGGTGGATGGGAGATAAAGAACTTTCCTCTCTTATTCCCCTCCCCATACCTGACGCTGATTATCATAAAACAGTTAGTCACTTCATCTCAGACAGCAACGATTGGAAGGTGGCTGAATTAGAACCACTTCTACCGGCTTCTATGGTGGACTGCATTCGCGCTATCCCCATCCCCGTCTCAAGCGGCTCTTACGACAGAATCTTTTGGCCTCACTCAGGTACTGGCATTGTCACTGTTAGTTCTACTTTTTCCTTTATTTCAGGTACAGGGGACGAGTCAGACTCCTATGATTGGCTATGGCGCACCAAGTGTCCGGAGAAGATAAAAATTTTCATGTGGAAGATTGCTAAGGATGGTCTCCTAGTGAACAGCGAACGGGTAAGGCGTGGCCTCGCAGTAGACGGAATCTGCCCGATTTGTGGCACTGGTGAAGAGTCTCTTGACCACCTTTTTAGACAGTGTGAAAGGACGATCGACTGTTGGCGCCTTGCTGCTTCTCCACCTGGGTTCAACACCATCAACCACCTTCCTCTCTTCAACTGGATGAGGTTGGCCTGTACGGATGGTCTCCAAGGTGCTGCTAATGACACCTGGCGGCACCTCTTCCCCTTCATCTTGTGGCATATTTGGAAGGCTAGGAATACAGCTATCTTCAACAACCTTTGGGCGTCCGCTTTGGACATTCTCAACTCAGCGAAAGCAGAAGCGGAAGGATACCAATGCGCCCTAAGGAAATTCAATGGCCCGTTGGTAGCTAAGCAAACATGGGTTCACTGGCTCCCACCACAACCGGGGATAGTGAAACTGAATACAGATGGGGCGAAACGTTCCTCCACTGGCGTCGCTAGCGCGGGGGGCGTCCTACGCGATCACCAGGGTAGATGGATCACGGGTTTCACTACTAAAATTGGTATTACAGATAGCTTCGTTGCGGAGTTATGGGGTCTCCGGCAAGGTC